GTTTTTGTTTCCAAATACAATTATATTTTAAAGTATCAGGGATTGGGACTTCAACAAATGTATTCGGGGTTTGGGGCTGTTATGGTTTGCATTTAGTTGTCTCCCCAAAGCCTCATGAAGTCATAGGGCAGCTTCTGGAGTTTGTGATTGGTTATTGTGGGTGTGGGTGCAACACCTGCCCTGGGGCAAGTAATCTGCATTACAATGTGAGGAGGGGAGAAAGGCTGGCTAGCTGCCTGAGTTGTTACCACTCCCTTTGCTCTCTGCTCTTTGATGCTACCATGAATGGCTGCTCTGTGCCATGTGCCACTCTGTCTTGGAGCCAGCCAAGTATGGACTGAAACCTCCACTAACTGAGAGAGCTAAATAAAACCTTTCCTTCCTTCATTTTGAATGTTGGATATTTTGCCTCAGCAATGAGAGAAAAGTACCTAAGATGGGTAATGTACCCTTAGCCATGTACAATATTTAATTGCCCAGGCTGTGGAGTTAGCTAGCGCTGGGCTTGAATTTATGTTTTTCCAATTACTATTTGGATCAACTGAAGAGATTCTTTTGAGCTTTAGGTTCTTACTTGTGAAAAATGGGATATTTCCTATCCAAGGATCACATGAAATAATGCATAGAAGTTGTTTAGCCATAGGCAAATAATATACACTCAGTATATAGCAACTGCTTTTCTTCTTATTCCAGTAGGGGTAAATGAAACCCAGTTGCAAAAATTAAGAACATTTCCACAGACATGTTGATATTTGAGGTGGATCTCTAAAAGGAAGTAGGGTTTGACTGAAGGACTTGGTGTTGTGGGGGGACTTCCAATGCAAGAAACAATACTTGGCTATGGCAGTGTTTACATTTTAAATTTTATTTTTGTTCAATTAATGTGTAAAATTGTGCATATTTACGGAACACCATGTGATATTCCAAAACATGTGAAATTTTATGTTGTTCAAACTAAACTAAGCAGAGATACTCGACTAGTCATCATTTCCATAGCCTTTGCTTTAGTTTTCTTGAAGCACCAGTACATTACTCTCTCAAGTGACCCTGCTATGCAAATAGAACTCCTGAACTTATTTCTCTTACCAATGCCTCAATATGCCTTGACCAGACTTTTCTTTGTTCTTCTTGATCTCATTCTCTCCCCAGCCTCTGGTAACACCATTCTACTATCTACTTTGTTAAGGTCAACATTTTTAGATTTTACATATGAGTGCAGTAAGTAGTGTGGTATTTGTCTTTCTGTGCCTGGCTTATTTCAGTTACCATAATGTCTCCCAGTTCCATCCAAGTTGGGTAGGCCAAGGACAGTTTCATCCTTTTTATGGCTAAATAATACTATGATGTATATAAGGATTATAACTTTGTCCAGTCAACAGTTGATAAACATTTGGGTTGTTTTTATCTCTTTGTTGTTGCAAAGAATGCTGCAGTAAACGTGGAGTGCAGGTGTTTCTTTAACATCCTTATGTCCTCTCTTTGGGATACATACAGAGAAGCAGAATCGCTGGATCATATGGTAGTTCTTATTTTAGTTTCTTTAAAAAGCCTGTTTTGTTTTCCGTATTGGCTCCACTAACTAACATACTCACCACAGTGTGCAAGGGTGTTCTGTGCCCTACACCCTTGCAGGCACCTGTTGTCTTTTGTCATTTTCGACAGTAGGCATCCTGACTGAAGTGCAGTCAACTTTCCTCGTGGCTTTCATTTACATTTCCTTTAGGGTTAGTCCTGTGGAGCCCTTTTTCATATACATATGGTTCATTCATGCCTCTTCTGTTGAGAAATGTCTCTTCAGGTCTACTGCCTGTTTTAAAAGTAGGATCATTTGGGGCATTTTGCTGTTGAATTCTTCACATGTTGGGAATATTAGCTCTGATTGGATGTATGAGTGCAAGTATTTTCTTCCATTCTGTAGACTGTCTTTACGTTGATTGTTTCTTGTTCTGAAGAAGCTTTTTAGTTTGAAATAATCCGGGGCCAGGGAGATGGCTCAGTAGAATAAGTGCTTCCCTGGCAAGCACAAAGGTCTGAGTTCAATCCCTGGTTCTGCAGAAAGAAAGAAAGAAAGAAAGAAAGAAAGAAAGAAAGAAAGAAAGAAAGAAAGAAAGAAAGAAAGAAAGAATCCTACTTGTCTATGTTTGCTTTTGTTCTCTGTGCCATTGAGGTTGTCTCCAAAAAACCCCGTCCCATTCCAATATCCTGAAGTTTTTGCCTGTGTTTTATTTCATTACTTTTATAGTTCCATTTCTTGCATTTAACATACTATAGAAATAATCCCTGAAAGTACAGCCTTATATCTCTAATTGATTTTTATAACTGGGATAGGAAAAGGTCAAGTTGATTTTTATAACTAGTGAGAAAAAGGGTCCAGTTTCATTCTTCTGCATACAGATACCCAGTTTGTTGGAATCTGGGGGGAAGAATTGATGGGTCATTTTGGCCAGAGAGAAAACATGACAGAAGATTAGTGATTTATATTTGTGAAAAGCAGGTTGAAACTCTATTGTGGAAGCCCTTTGGCACCCTTCTGGGAAGTTTGCAGTCTCAAAATCATGAAGAATCACATCGTATTTTGAACAAGAGAAACTGACCAGTAATGAGCTTTAAGAATATTTCAGTAACATTATTTAGGTTACATAAAAGCTACATGGTAAGGCAATTATAATCATATTTCTAGACTACTTGGGTTTTCAAAGATGCCTTTAGGAATTTATGTATTTGATCAGCAGGTATTTATTAAGAGCTTACTGTCTGCCAGCAGTAAGACACTGGGAAATGACTCGGGGGGTTCCCCCTAAGGATTTGGCTTTTAAAAATAGCTTTATCATTTCTGCTTCCCAGGCTTAGAAGAAGGGAAGAAATACACTGAGAAAATAGTGGCAAAACACAAGGAGGTTCTTGAGTCTATTACTGAGTTATGTGGGTCCCTTACAGAGCTTGAAGAAAAATTGAAGGTAATTTCTTCTTTTCAGAGTTTGTATTTTCATGTGATATAAATAAAAATGTATTGATCATATGTCTTCTGATGTTTAATAGATATTAAGAGACACAATGTGCATATAGTTTCACAGTGTTCTAACATCCTTATCTATATATTTCTGATAATTATGTTTCTTTCCCATCACTGCGGAGGAAAATATTACTGAGAATGCAAACTAAATACAATTAAAGTGTCTGGTTTACGTTTTCATAGATTATATCCTAAAGGATGAATGTGTACTGTTAAACCCAAACAAACATCTTTATTAAATAGCCTCAGTTTGTATTCATAAGTAATAGATATAAGGGCTGTTTTTTATTCCTCCAAATTGTAGCACCAGAGAAAATAAAACTAATATCCAGCTATTCTATTTATTGAAGATTTAGTTTCATGGAAACATTTAATCTAATTGTTATCACTTCTTATGGAATATAATATAAGTGGTAAAAATTATACAGAAAATGTTATCTTTATGCATAAACAAAAACCAATCACAGGAAAAAGTGTATGTTGTTTTATGTGTGTCATGTCAAAGTCCAGTTTGATTTTTTATTCAATTGACTGGAAGAACTAGTTATTTAGGATGGGGAGATACCAAGGAAATTAAGTATAAGCTCTAAAACAAAACAAAACAAAAACATAGGTGCCTTAGAGTACTAACTCTGTAAATTACTGTATTTCTGAGCCACAAATTCTATAGATTATTTTATTTCCTTGGGTCTCAGTTTCCTAGTCTACTAAATAGATCACAGGGTGGCCCTAAGAACTTAAAAAAAAAAATCCCAGATTACTGTTGTCATTATTGTTTCTACTGATGCCTCATAGTGGTCTTGCAGTGCAGAGTAGAATCTATTTACTTCGTAGCAACGTTTTTTTCTGTATGAATTTTTATGTCATCAATTTGAGCATCTGTTCCATTCAAATAATTTGTGAGGCTTTTAATTCAGTAAGTACTCAAATTGGTTGTTTTTCCCTCTGGTTAAGAATTGAGATGTTTTTCAGCACTCTTAATGTTTTAAATAACACTACGATGAACATCTGTGGGTAGTACTTTCTTGCCTTTTTGTATTATTACCTACACATAAATTCTCTGAAACAGTTCAGGAAGATTTGTATGGAAGTGTTAATATTTCTAACATATAGGTGAAATTACTTTCCATAAATGTTTTACAAATTACATTGCTATCAGAAATATATGAGTAAAACACCTATCATATTTTTGAACATTGATATTTTCTTCTCACCTCTGATCTCTTAAGGTTCTTTTCCTTCTCCTGCCATCCGATACACAGGCTGAAAAATCATTGCTTCCCAGACACTTCTTTCTACTGTCCATAACATCTTTCACATTCATGTTGTACGTCTTCAACATCATGAAAGCCACTCTCCACAAATTTTATCTTTTTGGGCTCTTGATCTTCATGGTTATCTTTTAGAAAGAGCTGTTTCCATAGCCTGTCCTCACTTTCTCGTTCTGCATTCCTGTGACACTCCCTGTAGTCAGGATTATACCCAGAATTCCCAGCCTACCACTTGGATTCTCTTTTGCATTTGACAGAAGTCCCCTGAATATACACCCAGTTAGAGCACCCTTCCTAAATACAGCTCTGCTCATCTCATTTCGTGTTCAAAACATTTCACTTTAAGCTCTGAATTGCTTACTATGTAAAGTTCAGACTCAGACTTTCCAGTGTTTTGAGACTGCTTGCCTGTTCCAGCTTCTCTATTCATTATAGATTTCTGCCTTGTTGGTCTTCTGTTCCACTTCCTGGTCTTTCCCACTTCTATACCTCTATAGTTTGATTAAATTTTTTTACTTCCATACAGTATGGCCTACTGTCTCTGATTATTGATATTTTACCATGTCTGAAAACCAAACCTAAATACCATCTTCACAAATCCTTCCTATGATTTCCTCTGTCATCAATCTACTGAACTTGTGTTCTTTCCTGCCTGTCCTAATCTAGTCTAACTACTATACCAAATACCATAGACTAGGTGTTTTGTAAACTACAGACATTTATTTCTTATAGCTTTAGAGATTGAGAAGTCCAAAACCAAGACACCAGTAAACTTGGTGCACAGTGAGTGCCCACTTCCTATAGACAATGACCTTCTTACTTTAACTTCATAAGGTAGAAGGGGAAAGGATCTCTCTGAGGTATTTTACAAGGGCACTAATCTACTGATGAGGGCTATACCCTTACAACCTAATCACCTCCCATAGGCTCCACTTCTAATGCCATCACCTTGGGATGATGATTTCAAAATGAATTTGGAAGGGATATAAACCTTCAGACCTTTGCCATGCCACAGACAGTAGACATCACTGGATTAGCATCCCAACCACCTCATATGATTATACTTAAGAAGTTCTCTAGCTGTGTTCAGCTTACTGCCCTGCAGTACATTTAACATGGTGCTTGGCCTTCTAAAGTTACTTCTTCAGAAAGAGTTTGGCATTTGTAGCAAATGGTCAAAGGATTAGCACAAAGAAGCATCATTCAGAGCTTTAAAAAAGAGGGGTTTTGGTTGAGTGGATGGATACAGAAATGAGTAAGGATCTCTTTAGCAAGGGAAGGAGGCATCAGCATCCACTCTTATGAGTTACTGAGTCAACAAAAGCTCATCAGTGAATGCTGACCCTTTCCAGATGTTTGTATGCACAAATGTCCAGGTTTTATGATTCTTTTTTCCAGTTTGATGGTATGGATCTCTTTTGTAGAGGTTATTAAAGTAGGCCCAGCAAATGTGGTCATGGCTAAAATAAAAATAATTTTTGTTTGTATAGTAATGAGAGCTCTGAAAATGATTTCATATATATTATATCCAGCAATTTCTAAATTACTCTGGAAAGAGAAATAAGTATTACTTTCCTTGTTTTAGATGTGAAGCCAGAGACCCAAACAGGATAGAGGTGCTTTCCTTGGGCCCTGTAAGGAGTGACAGATCTGGAATTTGAACTTAGTATTCTTCCTACAACAGCTGCCTTTGTGGAATAAGATATAAAGTGTATACTAAATCAGAGTGACTCATCCAGTTGAGGTTTAGAATTGTGATTAAAAGCTGACTCTCCCAGCAGTGTCCCTACATCTTTGGAGCCAACATAGCATGGGCCCTTTGCCGAGTATGCCTGTTGCCTTAAGGCCTTCCCGAGCTATCTCGCGGACCTGTTCCAGATAAAATGTGTCAATTCTCCTGTTGGACTATAATCATCATAAACTGATGAGCTCTGTCACCTGGAGTCCCAGTGGCTCTATTCACCTTCCCAAAATCTTCTTAACCCCATAGTAGTTTGTGACCCCCACAACCTCTTGATAGTGCTGAGCCCCATGAAATACAGGTAAAAGCATCACCCACATGAAAGAAACATCCTGTATTCTCAATTGCTTTCTTCTTTACTAGACTCAGTGATATTTCTGTCCTCTTTTCAAGATTCTCCCAAACAGATTACCTCTGAGTTCTCTGGATTTCCTTCTTCTTCTCCACCAGAGACATTTAATCATTCCTCCTGCTGCTCCCCAGACTCTCCCGGTTGCTTAAATTGCCATGCACTGTGGTTGCCATCTCTAGAGGATGTGCAAGCGAGAGCATCCTGTTGTAACAATTACCTCTTTTCCCGCTGGGCCTTTGAACAGTTCATTTTTACTGTAATGAACTCTATCAAAAGAGTAAGGCAGGAGAGGAGCTGGGAGCTTGGAGAGATAATTCTGTGAATCACATTCACCTCCTGTAGAAAACATTTGCTGAAAGCTTGTAAGTGGCTTATGTTTTGCTTCTAAGGAGTAAGTGTATGGCATTGTTCCTCCAATTTGCCTCACCCAGGTTCTCACTAACTGTTGCTTTGCCCAACAGGGAGGTACCCTAAAGATGCAGCCAACTTGGGAAGATTTTCACAGCAACTGTATTGACCTACTAAAGGTGCCAGTACGAAATAAGCAGGCAATATTCAATGAAGAAATTAATAAGGTAAAAAAAAATCACTTAAATTCAGCTAGTCCTTACTTCTGTTTGTGGTCATTGTGTACTGGAAAAAAAGGTGAATTGAAACATTCTTAGGAATCCAAATCATATCTCCCAATGTGTATTCAATGTGAATTTCCCAATCCCCAATATTTTATCTACCCTTACTTAGTCTGTTTCTCGCCTGTTTCCCATTGAGTCCTTCCCACTGAATACTGGAATAGTAACCCTTCAGAATAAGTGGGTACATCCATGCCAACACCATGATGTTGTCCCATGCATTTCTACTTCTCCCATCTCCAGCTGCCTTCTCCATTGTCCTTTTATGTCTTATCTACCCTCAATTTTTACTTCTTTCCCTTTATCACACTGCCAAGTGATGGTTTTACACTGTCTATTGGAAGATCTCGGTGCCTGAAATTAGATTCTACATTGCTCCCATAGAGTCTACCACTGGGTAATATTTCTAGTCATCTGCACTAAAATACAGAATCTAGCTGAAGTTCAAATATTAAAGAATTTGAGAAATATGTAAATTACTTGAAAATGTAGGCATTTACAAATAAATTAAAATATGGAGTAAAAGTGACAAATATTCACAAAATGCAAATGCATCATTTTCAAAAGTAATATCTACCTTGCATCATCTTTATGAATTTTAGAGACTCTGCTCGCTCTCTAGTCATAGCTGCTGGACTATAATTGGTACTTGACCTTTTGCTTTTACAACTTACCTGTTCCCAGTGTTTCTCTACTATTGTCACAGCAGATTCAACATGATTCCCAACAGCCTCTAAATTCATAAGATATACTTCCTAGAATATTTTATAAATACACAGATATGCACACATACACGAAATTAAAAAAAAAAAACTAAAAACCCAAGTATACAAACCTTTCCCTATTTGCTGCAGTTGATTCAGGGAGAAAGATTTCTTTCCTTGAAGTTAGTACAGTTCTTATAGCATCCTTACAGGTCCTTCTCCACACATTAAATCTGTGTCAAGATCTAGTGCAATTATAGAGTCCTGGCAGCAAGTACCCATAAGCAAGCTGTTCCTTTTCCTAGGTGCAGTCACGAGCCTCTTAAACTTTAGTTCCTCTCTTAGTCAAAGAACAGCTGTCGGGGGTGGTGAGATGGCTCAGTGGTCTAAAGCACCTACTTAGAACAAGCTTAGCAAAGCACAGGGACCGCGGTTCAATCCCCCAGCACCACATGCCAGCCCGCCCCGCCCCCTGGTGGGCTGAGCTGGACACACACAACATACACATACACACACATAATAAAATAAAATAAAAACACTTAAAAAAAAAACAAACAAAGAACAGCTGTCTAGCCTTGGTCATCTTGTTGGGTCTTAGTATAACAGTCAATGGTCTTTGGTCACTATGGTCTAATTCAGTCTTTCCCAACTTTGGCATCAGTGACATCTTGGCCAGAGACTTTTCTGCTACAGGGATGGTGTTATGCACTGTGGAATATTTATTACTATCCTCAGCTGCTACCACCAGATGCTAATAGTGCCACCAGTACCCTCATTTATGTCAATAAAAAAAAACCCCATGTCTATAAGCATGACTAAATGCCTTCTAAAATCACCCCCAATGGAGAGCAAAACAACTGATTGAAATAATAAAGGACAGTTTTAAATATATACTACATACTCTTAACTAAGTTTCTTAGAGTTCCAAATCCAATATTATATTATTAATTTTATTTAATTTTGTCAATTTTCTTATACTATGAAATGGATACATTTTATAAAATCTTAGAAGTTGCTTCTACTAAAAAACACTAATTTATACTTAGTAAATTTTTTTCCTTGCTTTTCCTTATTTTCTCATGAGAAAAAAAGTCGCTTTAAATACAAACAGATTTATTTTCATTGAAAAATAACTTTTATTTTAACCTAAGTTTTAAGACATGATGGACCATCAGACATTTAGAGAGAAAGTAAAGGTCCCCAATTATAGCTGTCAAGAATTATCACTGACATCATTTCACATACAAATTCTGGTGCAATTGCTACAGACAGCATAATGAAGGAGTAGCAGTAATCTCCACTATTAAGCAGCTCAATCACACTTACCCTCTTATTGTCTCTATTATGTATATATAGGTCAGATGTGATGACTGGCAAAAGCACCATGTAGGCAGATAACAAGAAATATCAAGTAAAAAGCTTGTCCATGAATTATTTCATTCCATCCTGATACCCTTCAATAATAAGTGTGAATCTTCTCCTGAAAATGATTTGAGTCAGAAGGAACAGTCCTACCAAACTATGACAAGGATGTATTGGTCCCAGGAATTTTCTTCTGGAAATGGCAAAGTGTTTCTCATTTTTCTGACCCCCAAATATAGCAGGTGTTATTAGACAATATGGTCCATGCAATGCGCATAGCACTGTGAACAGATTAATAATAGTATTCTATCCTCACGGTAGGTGCCAAAGCTAAATCCACAGAAACATCTGCAAACGGAGGCACAGAGTATCATGAAACTTGCCTGATGTCTTAGAACTGTTTGGCAGAAGAAGAAGGTTTTTGATGCCAGCATTTATAGTTATAGAGTTTTAGTGCTAGAAGCGATTTAACAATCATCTGATCAAAGCTCATTTTACAGTTGAGGAAACTGAGTCCAAAAAGAGATTAAATATCTTGCCCTCCAAAGGTATCAGGAGATAGTGTCAGAACTGGGCTTTTTGCCCAGTTCTGAATTTCAGCCAGGTACCTTCTCCACAAGACCAAAGGGATGTCCAAGTAACTGCTGCATTCAAATAAGCTGTTTTGTAATGATATTGTAGCTGTTCTTGCCAGAACTTTTCCTTTCTTCAGTCCATACCCTAGAAGCCTTTTGTACCAAGCAATTCAGCAGAGTGTTCTACCATATTAACAAGGAGAGTCCCTAACCCTCCTACATGAATTGTAGTCCTGGTAGGGTGAGGAAGTTGTTCTAGAGACACCTGCCTTGGGTTGGGGGGAACTAGGAAGCACCAGAGTGTTCTTTGCCACATTTATTTTTCTTTCTCACTTTCCTTGCAATCTCCCCTATCCAAAGGCCCCAAGAGTCTCCTTTTGGCTTCCACAGCCCACTTTGAAGGTCTCCTCCAGACACACCTTCCATGGGACCCAGCCCTGTACCCAGCATCTTTGTTACTTCCCACTCATCTGTGTTAAACAATATTTATCCTAAAGTTAACTATTGTGGAGAGGTCTTAGAAAATAAATTCTTGTAAAAAAAAAAATTAGAAAATAAATTCTTGTGATCTTCTTTCAAATTTGCCACATAGGTGGCACCCCATTGAATTTACTTTGAGGATTCATTCTGTCCACTGAATTAGATGGGTGTAGACTGTCACTGTGCTTTCTCTGCCAAACTGTGCTTACCCCTTTCCGGTAACACACACATATATATTTTCTAATAGTAAAGATGATTTCATGGTGGAAATATAAGAAAATATAGTTGATATGTGTTAACATGTGGATACGTTTTTCATAGATGAAACTGTAGGGATCTAGGAAGCTGTAGCTCATTGAGTTGTTAATGTAGTTAGTATATGATTCCATAATGACTTAAAAATTTACCATTTATTTGCATATGAGAAAAAAGGCTCAACTGTTAAAGTGAAATGGATTAGGAAAAAGACATGGTAAAGCACCTTAATTTGTTTGCTGAGATAATTATTTAATGGATAATTCTAGGTTTGTACCATTGGCAAAATTTAATATGGTTTCAAGGATTCATATGATAAACACTCTCATGTTCTATCTCTTAAATGGAGAAATGGGAACCGAGTTTGGGTTTGGTCAGGTTATCACTGTACCCACAAATGCTAAGTAGTTCATCAATTTTAAGTAAAAAAACCCATTTGCCTTAGAGAAACTTCTAGATTTGTTCTAAATTCTATAATGTCCAGCATTTATATCAATGATATTGAAGGACAGAGTAGGTAGGATATTTTAGTTTGATAAATGCTCTCATGTGGCTCTTATAAAAATAAACAAGAAAAGAGTGACTACAATATTTCAATAAAATCATGTCACATTCATCAAGAAGATAATGATTCTCCTAATTATTTTCCATTTGGAAAGTAAATAAACCCTAGAACCAAACGTTTAGAAGGGAATATTAATATATTGAAATGTCCACAGAAAAATATTTGAGAAAATGCTATCTCCTTTTGTTAGTAGAAATTACCTGGCACCATTCTTTTGTGTGACAAAATTTTTTTTCCTATTTTAGAAATTCTAAGATGTAAAAATTATTATATCTATAAATTCCCTTATTATATTAGGCACCAACTATGAAAATCAGATACAGGAGTTGAGAATTAACACTACTAAAAGCTGGGTTTAGGTTTTTTAGGGGACTTCCCAAAACTTCATGACCAAAGACATGCTTTATGGGGCTTCCATTCTGTAGAATCAACCTGAGCACATCCATTTGGTGGACAGGAAAACCAAAAAGGGAGGCCAGGGACAGACACTTTTAGCTCCTTCTTCCAAACTCTCAGTTATGTAAACCAGTTCCAGCAGGGATTGAAAAAGAGTAAGTAGACTGGCTTAGAATTTTATTTAAATTTTATTCAAATTTATCCCCTGAATTTGTACATTTTTAGACAATTTAAAGCATTATTCTTCTGTAGGTTACCTAAAAGTATCATTAAAGAGTTGTCTGTCTTTAAGTCAAATGCCTGAGCTCATGCAAATCAGCCCTTCCTAAGGTGACCGAGATGATGGCTATGGGTGCTGAGTCAGAACTTTTAAGGTCTGTAGTACCAAGAAATAAATTTTAAGATTGCAGGACTAATTTTCTAAACAGTCAAAATGCTGTTGAAATAGGAGGGCGGTTGAATTGTGGCTATGTAGCTACAGGAGCACAAGTGGAAACTTGTGGATACTGTTTTCCTACGGGTGGAAACTGCAAAAGAAGGCAGGCCTTTTGCTAAATATAATCTCAGTACTAGTAAATCACAAAATTTTGAAGGACTCATTCTTTTTGGGAAGAGTTCAAGCAGAAGCTTCCAGAATATTCTAGAAGAAATTCTTGTATCGAATAGGCAGTTTGATCAAAGCTCCTATGACTAGGAAAATAAGCATTCTCCTTACAAGAAGAGATAACAGAGAAACTAGACTAAGCTATTTTAAGAAAACCAAAAAAGAAGGACATTCCTTACTGGATATGTATTTATTTAGTAGTTTGGTTTTTGAATGAGAGGGACTTCTAAGAATTTCTAGATTTTACACTCAGAATTTAAACATCTGCTAAATGATTCAGAGAAACCACTTGCCCTATGCTTTCTCTGAGGGAGGCTCAGCTCTGTAGGACAGGAGAGGGACTATTGTTTTTCTACTCTTCAACCTATTGAACCTACTCTTCAATTTTATTTTCTTAAAATAATGTACAAAATATGTCAAGAGCAGGACTATGGGCTCAAAAGAAGAACTCAAAGTTAAGGCAATGCATGACTTTCTCAGATTTGAGTAGTAGCAACAGGATGAGAACTTCATGCTAATGAAATAAAACAGCCCAAATACTAAGCAGAAGCACAGAAATAGATAGAAAATAAGAGCCCCGTGGTACATGATATCACTTTCAGTTTCAGTATTCTCTTGCATCTATTCCAGGAGAGAAATTTGAGCCTCTTCATAAAGCAGAAATGGACATGGATTAGTAAGGAGAAAGACCAGGCCGTGCAAACAGGAGGGGAATGCAGAGAGGAAGGTGGCAGGTGCGCCCCCTCATACAGGCCTGTGACGTGATTACTCCATGAACATCACCTCCTCCAGCCTGCTATCAAACCCACACACGTACAAGTACCCACTTTCCCTCAGAGTGTCACACCCCTGCCAGTATTTAGTGTGGTGCCTCATCTCTAGGAGGTGTTTAACAAATACATTTTCAGTATCAGAGTAAAACTAAGGGCTTTAAGAAAATCAAGCCAGTCATTAAGAAGTTTTCTCTAAATGAGGGCAGAAAGTTCATGGGGAAAGAAAACAGAATGGTGGTTATCAGAGACTGGGAGTGGGGAGGTGTAGAATTGTTTTCTGGCTTCCATATTTCAGTTTGGGACAACGAAAAGGTTCTGGAGCTGGATGGTGGTGATGGTCACACAAGTGTGAGCATGTACAGTGTCACTGAACTGTGTACCTAAAAATGTTTAA